AGGGCGGGCAGTGGTGCGACACAGGCCAACAGTTGTGCGAGACGGGCCGGCAACGGTGCGCGAAGGGGCGGTAGTGGTGCGAGACGGGCCAGAAATGGTGCGAGAAGGGCCAGCAGTGGTGCGAGAAGGCCCGGCAGGAGGGGCCGTGGCGGCAGAGGCTGGATACAAGACGCCGTCAGCTACAGCGCAGTACGCAGAACGCCGTGTCCGTACCGTCTTCAGTGTCCTTGCAGGATTGTGCACCGCCCGCTATGGAAAGTACTCGGTCGCCTAGGCTACGCGCACATCGCGAGGAACAGAAGAGCAGAGGAGGAGGGAGGGGGCGCGAAGCACGAGCCCAACGGTATCAGCCACGCGGGTGGTGTCGCGAGGCACGGGGGGTGGCGCAGCAAAGCACGAGCCCAACGTCGTCAGTTACGAGAGTGGCACAACGAAGCACGAGCCCAACACCATCAGCTACGAGAGTGGTGCAGTGAAGTACGAGCCCGATGACATCAGCTACAGTGCCAGAAGAGACGGCAGTGAAGGACAAGACACCGGGGCGGCAGTGGCAGGGGCGGCAGTGGCAGCTCAGGCAGTGGCAGCTCAAGGTAGTGGCAGTCCAGACAGTAGTGGCAGTGGCGCCCAGGCACTAGCAGCTCAGTGGCAGTGGCGGCATTGGCAGCTCAAGGCAGTGGCAGCACAGGCAGTAGTGGCAGCTCAGGCAGTAGCAGCCCAGTCGCAGTGCAAGAAGCGACGCCGCTTCCCAACCACGGCATCCAGGCGCTGCTTGACACGGCGTGCAAGCTATTCATATCACGACGGCCCAAGGTGGCATTCAGGGTACTTCTAAAGATCTACAAAGCCGCTCCACATGCCATGCAGCATCCTGGTATCCGGCACCTGCACGACAGCATCGCTATGTGCCTCAAGGGCGGGCTTTGCTACGAGCACCTGGTGGAGGAACAACGGCATGTACCTACCTGTACAACCACCATTCGCGTGATAAGGAGGTTATGGGGGGGAGAGGGGGGGGAACCAACATCTGATTCAATCGATCTCACTATCGATCTCACTCAACGGGACACCACGGGACACCTCGGGACACCACGGGGCACCACATCGATCTCACTATCGATCTCACTCAACGGGACACCACGGGCCACCACGGGCCACCACAGGACACCGCGGGACACCTCTCGATCTCACTATCGGTCTCACTATCGATCTTACTCAACGGGACACCATAGGACACCACGGGACACCTCGGGACACCACATCGATCTCACCATCGATCTCACTATCGGAAAGAACGCGTTTCACGGGCGCTTGCCTTGGGAACATTCGGCGGCGCGTTTTAAACCGGCGGGTGGGCCCCCCCCAACACTCGGCGCCCGCGATCAAAACCAGGGGGACTCCCCTCCCCCCAAAACCCCCCACCTCCCGAACCCCCCCTTCCCCTCCCCTCCCAGGGGGGGGGGTTCACACCCCGCCTCCCCCCCCTCCCAGGGGGGGGGGGGGTTCAAAACCCCCGGGGCCCCCCACCCCCCCCTCGGCGCCGGCGCTGACGCTGGCGGCCGCCGCCAGCGGCGCCCACGGCGGGGACGCAGCGACAATGATCAGAGGTAGCTCAAGGGGGGGGGATTCAAACCCCCTCACCCCTGGCGCCAGGGGGGGGGATCCCCCCCCCCCTCCGCGCCGGCGCCGGCGCTGGCGCCGGCCAGCAGCGCCAGCGCTGGCATCGGCGACGGCGGGGACGCAGCGACGATTACCACCACTACCACCACTACCACCACTACCACCACCACCGCCTCAACCCACCACCACCACCTCCACCAAAAGCACCACACAACCACCACCACCACCACAGCAACCACCACCACAACAACCACCACCACAACTCACCATCACCACCACCACAAAAACCCACCACCACTACCACCACCGCCGAAATCTACCACACCACCACCACCAGCGCTACAACCACTACCAGCAGCACAACCCACCGCCACCACCACAAACCACCACACCACCACCATCACCGTCACCACCACCACCACAACAAACGTCCACAAACCACCACCACCACCACAACCCACCACCACCAGAAACCACCACCACCACACCACCACAACCACCACCACCACCACCACAACTCACCATCACCACCGCCACCACCACAAAAACCTACCACCACTACCACCACCACAATCTACCACACCACCACCACCACCGCCACAACCACCACCACTGCAAGCAGCACAACCCACCACCACCACAAACCACCGCACCACCGAAACCACCGCCACCACCACCACCACCACCTCCACAAACCACCGCCTCAACCACAACCCACCACCACCACCACCACCACTACCACAAACCACCACCACACCGCCACCAAACCACCACCACCACAACCACAACCCACCACCACCACCACCACCACCACCACAAACCACCACCACACCACCACCAAACCACCAAACCACCACCACCACCAACCGCCACAACCACCACC